TTTTTAAAAAAAAAAAAAGAGTATATAAAACTAAAATAACATAAATACGAAAAAAAAATATTTTAAAAATAGTTCGTTAATTTTCCCATTAAATATACAAAATGCTATTACATTTTATTTTAATAAATTCATAAAAAAAAAGTGATCGCGCTAAATTCAATTTTTTTTTTACTAAAAGACAAAAGATAAAGAACCAGGATATTCTAATCAAACAAAAATAAATAAATATTTTTTTAATGAAAGAGAAAAAATTGAATTAGCGCTAAAAAAAAAAAAGAGGGAATCGAAAAATTCAATACTAAATATAAGGGGTGAGGGAGGAAAAAAGAAATCACAAATGTGTAACGTTTTTATTTAAAACAGATCTAATACATAATCGTAAGACTTTCCCAAAATTAATTTATACAGTAATTTTTTTAAGTATGGTAAATAGTCAATAATTATATAAAAAAGGTAAACGAATAATATCATTAATAAAAAATAAACCCCCAATCGAAATTAGATTATAACTGACTATATAAATTGTAATATTTGTTGTGTTGTTTGTTATGCGTACAAATGTAAAACACGCGATTACACAAATAGTAGTAAATTAATTAATTAAGCAAAAGATTTATTGGATGGACCCATTTAAAATTTAAACGTTAATCATCTCTAATTAAAAGGATTTTTATAAATAATTGAAAATATATTTATAATGAGTTTTGGAATTATTAAAAGAAAATTAATGAAATATATGAAAAGAACTAAAAAGAAATGAAAAAAAATTAAAAAAAAATGAAAAAATATAAAAATAATATAAAAATAATAGAAAAATAATAAAAACAATAAATAATAAAGCCAATATAACAAATATCACCATGAAAAAAAATTCGTAAATTTAGCTCCTGCATCACATTAAAAATAAAAGTGGGGATCATTGCATTGATATGTAAAAATTGTACCACACACGAGACATCAAGCACATTATATATCATAAATTCTATAAATAATCAATTTTTTTCGGAATGATAATGATTCATTTATTTTTCTGATGTGTAGAAATTTCGTTCGATTCGTTATAAAAAAGTTTTCATTGAAGTGAATCATCGGACTATCATATCCGGTATCAGCAGCTTATTAACATAATGATAATAATTATTTATCTTAAAACGGAAGTAGTTAATTAGTTAAAGTTTAGATTATATGTTGTGTAATGATGTTAAATGTCTCGTTAAATTTGAAGTATTTAAATTTCACTAATTTCATTTTAGAAAATAATTATATATTTAAGATATCCTTTCTATTATTATAATGTCTTATTAATCCTTATCCCCTCTCTCTCATTATAATAATAATTATAATAATTATTCCTGATTTCTAGTTTGTATCACGAAATTCAGCGTAGTGAAAACTAATAATATAAACAATGCAACGAAAATAAATAAATTTTTACCTTTTTAGAGATTTTCCGTTCAATTTTTCAAAATAACGATAACCTGTTTTGGAAGCGTTCAAACAAAGAAAAAAAAATTATTGTTTCAAATTTTTCTTATTTTGGCCAAAAATTATAACAATAAAAAATAAATCTTAAATTTTTTTTTAACGGATGCTTTTTTGATGGTTTTAAATTTTTAAGAGATGGTTTCACCCTTAAAATATTTCCCAATAAGTTGGTTAATTGGGATTATCATGTATCAAATTAATATATCGGGTGATTTCCTTGACGTCAATTATGACGGTTTATCTATTATTATAAGTTGGGCTAATTAAATTTAAATAACGATTACTTAAAAAAGTAATTTGATGACCGGAAATAACAAGCTTTTTTTGGTTTTTAAATCTACGCAGTAAAAAAAAAAAGAATAAATAAACAATGCATAGGTAAAAGCAGATGAACTCTTATTTATATTATTATTATTTAAACAAATCATATATTTCAAGCAAATAAATAAAACCCCGATTCGGGATGGGAAAAAAGTTGGACCGCAACTTTATTTTTGATCCTAGTATTATCCTAGTAAGGAAATCCAGAATTACAATACTAATTCTGGTTGGAACTAAAAAATGTGTCGTTTACTATTTATGTTATGGTGATCAATTATGGGCCGAGATTATCCCGCTTTTCCATCTTTCATTCTCATTTAGTTCTTTTATTGTAACGGTTTTGTCATTAAAATGTTTCAAATAATTATATTAGCTTTTTTAGCTTATTTAGTTTGGAGAATCCTTAGATTTTTTAAGAATTTAAAAGTACCTGAGGGAATTAAAAATATACCAACATTCAGTTATTTAGATCTTCTTTTTCATATATTCACTAAAGGTGGACCAGATAAGCGTTGGGAATATACACGTCGTGCTTTAGAAAAAGATGGGATTGGAAGGGTAATATTTCTTTATACGTTTTATTTATTTTTTTTTTATCATATAAAGTATATAAAGTGAAATTTTTTAAGAAAAAATCTTTTTATTTAGTTTTGGTTCAATAAAGAATGGGTTCTCTTGGTAACAGATTTAGATTTGGCTAAAGATATAGTTACTAAATCAGGTTAGAAATCCTGTTAGTTGATTTGAATTATAATTTAATTTATTTGATTTTTAACATTATTTTTACGAATTTAGATTTGTATGCTAAGGCTACGTTAGAAGAATCATTTCCTGGATCTTTATTGAGTAAATTTTATGGTACAAATGTAGTAATGTCTAACGGTGATGTTAGTATTCTTTCTGAATATATCAATTCTTACGTGATCGGAATGATTTTTCTGAAGCTAATTAATTGATATTTGATTATATAGGTTTGGAGACGTCATCGGTATTTTTTTCAATTGTTTCATTTGTTTAATTGGAATTTATTAATTAATTCTCTTTATATATATATATTTATTTATTTATTTAGTCGTATTGCAAATCCTGCTTTTAAAAATTTACCAAAACATGTGTTTGTTGAATCTACTTTAAAGTTATTGACCGTTATGGAAAAGTTTGATAATCAACCTATAGAGGTCAAAAATCTCATGCATAGATTAACTTTGGATGTTCTTGGAAAAGCCGCCTTTGGTTTCGATTTTAATGTATGATACAATCAATTTACTTATTTTATAATTAATTAATTAATATTTATTAATTTTTTCAAACTTAGAATCTTGAGGATCCAGAAAACGTTTATGTTACTGCTTATAACGAAGTGATTGAAGAATTGAGCAAACCATTATATTTACTTTTACCATTTCTTAATTATTTTCCACGTTTTGAAGCACGTAAAAAATTAGCAAAACTTAATAATTTATATGATGGAATAGTTGAGAACAAACGTAAATCGATGCAATTAGGAGAGTTGGATGAAAAGATAAATAATAATTCCGCAGATTTGTTAGAGTATATGATAAATGCTTGCAATGATCCAGAAAATCAAACTTTGACAAACGAAGAATTAAGAGTAAGGTTCAAAAATTTTGAAAAAATTTATATTTTAATTATCAATTAACTGAATTATATTTTTTTATAGTATAATATTGCAATTTTTATGTTGGCTGGTCACGATACTAGTAAGAAAAATTAATTCATGTATTTATTGTTTGTTTTGTTTATTATATTTATTGTCCGGAGCGTTAGTGAAGGACTATTTAATATAAAAATCCTTTATTAATGAAATTAGCCGCGAACGCTTTAACAACTATTTTATATCTTTTGGCCGTTCATAAGGTATTATTAAATTTTAAGAATTTCATTATAATAGTTTTTTCTTTTTATTAATATAATAATCTTTATTTTTTTTCTTTATTGAATTAGGATGCACAAAGTAAAGTTCGTGAAGAAATATTACGTGTTCTTGGTGATGATTTAACACCAAGTATGGAACAACAAAAAGAATTAAAATATATGAATATGGTCATAAATGAAAATTTAAGATTATATCCTCCAGTATGTGCTATTTGACTTCTTTAACGTTCAATCGTTCAATTTCAATTTCATTCATCAACGTTAATTTTTCTTTTAAATCTATATGATAGATCGCACAATTACCTCGAAGATATCCTATACATGATGTTAGATTTCGTGATTATGTAATTCCAGCAAAAACCCCTATGATATTATTCATTTATGGAGTTCATCACTCATCAAAGAATTGGGAAGATCCTGAAAAATTTATTCCTGAAAGATTTGAGAATGAAAGACATAATAATTATTCCTGGTTAAGTTTTGGTGGTGGTAACAGATCGTAAGTTAAAACATTTGAATTATATATAAATTTTTTTTTTTAAAAAAAAAAAATTTAGTAATCTATTTTTTTATCGTTATATTAGATGTTTAGGAACTAATTTCTCGCTTATTGAACAAAGAATAATTTTATGCGCTTTATGTAAGTTTATGTTCGTGAACTTAATAGTTTTTAATCATTATTTTACTAAAATTGGATGTTTTTTTTCATAATTATATAGTAAGAAAATATGAAGTGTCATTACCAGCAGATAGTATTCATAAGAAAAAATTACAAATTGATCATGCCAATAGTGGGACCATGGGACCACATCCAATACCATTAATTTTTAAAAGAAGAACAGAATAGTATTTTATTTAATGATCATTTGTTTAGGTTTTGTAATATTTTTTTGTAAAAAAAAAAGATCTAAATTATATAATAAATCGATTTTTGTACAAAGTTAATTATAGGTCATCTGATTATAAGATATATAAGATATATAAGATATGTTTTTTTAATATAAAAACTTTGGATTTGTTTTTGAGTTTGATAATTTAGTTTCTAGAATTCGTTGTTTGACCTTATCCAAGATATAGCTTGGGCTTCATTGCCTTGAAAATTCGCTCAAAATAATCCATACCCAATGCAACTTGAAGACAATTCTATGGCGTAGCTATAATATCATGATTATCTAAATGTAATGCTTTCGTAGGCAGATTTCATCAGTTTGGTGCAAATCACCAGTCACGTGATTATAAATAAGTGTTGATTCGATGCACAGATCAAAGCGAAACCTCTTCTCAACTTTATATGTAGACATTTTCTATTGTGAATTAAAGAGTCCTGAACGATCAGATTTCGTGATGCGATTGTATTTCTCCAAAGATTGGTTTCAAAATCGATCTTAGACTCGCTGCAAATAATTATATAAAAAGGTGAGATACGCTCGCGTGTGGACGGTATCGGGACTTCTCGCCGAAATCCATTTCTCCGAAGGGATGTTTCGCTGAAGGGACATTTCACCAAAATACCATTTCACCGAAACCCCATCTCACCGAATTACATTTTGTCGGCCCATTTCACCGAATGGACATTTGTTGAAAATTATTTATTTCATTAGATTATTTTATTGTTTTTATACTAAATACAAAAAGGAATCTTTATCTAGAAGAATGTTTGAATTAGATGAAATTTATCTCATTGTTGTTTATTATATATACACTTGTTTTCGTAAGTTACTGTTCGAAAAAAGGCTGTCCGAAAAAAGGCTGTCAATAAAAATAGTATAAATCCGAAATATCTTATCACCACCAGGATAATTGAAATTTGACTCACAAGTCTCTGTCAAAGAATTATTCTCACTTTTTGTAGTTAACATCCTGAAAAGGACCTGCTTCAATTTTACAAGCTCCACAAATCCGGACCTAAAAAATGGTAATTTGCCCATATGAAACTAATCTGTTAAAGGACCTTAGTAACGTTAATATTTTTTTACCTTGCTACAGCATTTACAACTAGATTCGTGAAATGAAACTTTCTTAAACAAAGAAGATATGAATAGAACCCGCTTGATTAAGTTAATTGGAAATCGACTAAAAGCATCTCAGGTGTTCCAGATGTTACAATTTCTTTTTTATTCTTTTTTGCAATAATGTAGGTTTTTTTTACTAGTCTTTCATACAGTGACTGTCAATACATCGCCGAAGTGAAAGAAAATAATGATCATTTGTCGATTTGCTGTATATATGTATATATTCCTATTTTGTTAGTAGTTGCGGAAAATAAATATGAAGTAAGGCAACCGTGACCTTGAGTCACAATCTCGTTGTTAGGCAAAATATAATCTTGTACTATTCCAAGACGCAATGTGACAATATAAGTCAATTTGATTGAATACATTTTGCGCAACGTTGTAACAGTGCTGTAACTAACTCGTGCCTGATCAATTCATAATGCCAGCCAAGGTTCCTGGCTAAAGATATGTGCAACTGTAAACAATTGCCACGCTCTTGTACACCACACATTAGTTAAATAAATCAACAATTTTTCTACGGACACAATAAATCATTATATGCACTTTAATTATAGTGTTTTTTCCCACTGTAGTTGATTAGGCGTTTTCGTTTCACAATGAAATGATTGCGTCATTAACAAGGGTTCATGATATTATCAAGGTATTACATAGTTGCCTTGAGAGGGCATTAGTGAACTGGGCGAAGCACACTTCGTAATGTGGATCGAAAATCAAAAATAAATATGGCTAGATGTACATGTACAATGCCTGGAGGGTACTATCACTTCATGCAATCGATATAATGGACAAAGCGTGTTGCAAAATAATTTAGTGAACCTTGCTATCTCTGAAAGAGAGGCTACTAGTAACTTGGATCATTAAAACGGATAACGTTAGCTCCTTATTCATTACATGGCATCATTGGAAAGAAAGGTGTTACATTTCAACAAAAACTCTCGTGCGAATCTTATTCCGTTAATTCGTATATTGTCGAAATCAATTGGCCTTAGATAAGCATTTCCCGAAGCTTTAATTGCGAAATTTCTAATGGAATCACTTTACTGATATTTCCATTGTCAATTTTTATACTAAATAATAACTTTTTATATAGCCAATAAGAAACTTTATTATAAACATTTTTTTCAATTATCGTATTAAATATCAACTCTGTAATAGTACCATCGCTAATGATGATAATTTACTTTATTCCCATATATAAGAAAATGCGTATTTATTGCTTTATTAAAAAACTTCTGATTGTTTAAAGTTCTATACGCTCTGTATCGGGCGCTTAAATATTTTCATCTTTATTTCTTCAAAACTCTACAAGAAATTTTCTTCGGTTCTCAGAAATTCTTAAGAATTTTTTACACGTTTTGTCCTTGGATAATCTATATTAAATATGCGTGGAGCGACATAACGCTTATAGTACAATTACGTAAAAAAAAATACTGCTACATCCGTTGGGATTCCATTTTTTCTACACATCATGGACGAAGTAATATAAAAAATTTCAAAATAATGCTTCTATATTTTAGGGGTTGTTTCAAAAATTTTAAACTACACATCTTTGTTTTTAATAATCCAGATTTTAATGAAATTTATATCATTAAAAGACTAGTATTCAACAGTTCTCCGGCCATTTATAGTTGCGAAGGACATAAAAGACAATATATAGCATACCGAATGGTACATTATCAACTATCGATATTTGGACGTTTTTTTCAGCATAATTTATAACTCTTGAGAAGTAAATCAGGTTTAATGCCAATATTAATTTCATCCAATAATAGTCATTACCAGAAAAGAGCGACATGTTTAACATTTGGACTATTGGTGTCCAAATGAAAGTTAATGTTATATCTAATTTCCTTAAAATAGGTTCTACTCTAACCAAAAGATAAAAAAAAAGATCAAGATTAGGTTCGAATTTACTAGAAAAAAGGTCTAATATCTTTCTTAAAATAAATAATATGCCCAAACATATGTAAGGAAGCAGTAAAACTGATCCCAAGATTCCGGTTACTGCATGTAAATAGATGAAAACATACGTGAAATTATTCTCAGAGATACTTTTGGTATAAAATATGAAACAAATGTCAGAAATAACATGACTAAAATCAATAAAAAGACCTAAAAGTCCAAGTTCTATTCCCCAATCATTTAATACTATGTCGCTATAGCTAATAATATAATGGCTTATGATTGTAAAGAAAACAAAGCCAGCTGTAACTCCAAAAAGGATTGGAATCCAGATGGGTATTGCGAATTCCTTATGATGTTTATAAAGCACTATACATGGCAATACAAAAAGGGATAATAAAAAAAGAAAGTCATCGAAAGCTCGTTTAATTTTAACATGGGATAGTCCTTGTCTAATTTTATTGAGTATGGGTAGTTTTTGTCTACTTTTATTGTTTGCTTCTAATTCACTTTCTGACTCTCTATTAGCTTCTGATTTTTTTTCATCTTTTGTTTCTTTCGTGTCATATAAAAAAATTATAAGCGTAGGAACAAGCGTACTAATTATTAGGTCGAAAACGTCTTGTTTAGGATCATAATCCTCAGCAAAAGCTGAACCAAAGGATGATAAGAGAATAATTCCAAAGAGAAGACATTTTAAATGAAGCATTTTGTTGGATATTGTAACAGGTAGTAAAGTTATTTATATATGTTGTGCATCATAATACTAAGACCTGATTGAGTGATCATCGCATGCAACCAGTTAATAGGATTAATCTTTTATATTTCCAAAAACAACGGTGCAAATAACTATTTTTTTTAGGTGAAAAAGATTCTAACCTGCATACAATAAGACCTACTAGTGATTATTTAGTAATCCTCAATAAATACTCTGGCGTGCAGCATGCTATCGAATAATAGAACCAAATTTGTTTCAGTAAACGAACAAATTCACAATAAAGATCCTAACCCGCATAACCATAGATTATTATGATGTGTAGAGATTGGCTATCACTGTTTATATTTATCTGAGGGACAGTTTTTTCGGCGAAATCTGTCACCGGCAATTTTCACGTGTTAGTGCATAGTGCCGTAACCGCTGGGATAGTTATATGTCTTGAATAATATAAAATAAGGCAACCGCGACAGTAAACATATGTATGGATTTATATCTCGCAGATCTTGTAGTGTATAGTTAAATATCACACACGTACCATACAGATCTACATTGTTTATTACCAAATAAGGAAAGGCCTAGACCGATCTATTACCACGTATGGTTAGGTGATTATATGTATGCTTTGATTATATCCATACAATCCATACATCAAAATGAACTTATGCTATACTTATTTTCACCATACATAAGATTAGGATTTGCAAAAAAAAAAATGAAGTATCTTTATTATAAACAAACATTTACAAAGATATGACAATATTTACTCATAAGGAATTAAATTTATTTATATAGATTATATAGATATGATAAAAAAACCTATATAAGATTTTCCAATTCTAGTTTCTCGATCTCTGCTTGGGCTTTGCGATCTGCTGTACGTCTTTCTGCCAATTTCATCTTACGTTCTTCTATTTCTAGTTTTGAAATTTCTCGTTCACTATCACTTTCATTAATATCAATTCTACTTCTTTTGGCTTTTGAGGTATTTTCACTTGTGGACGCCTTTCTTTTCCCTTTTTTTCCAGCTTCTCTCTATTAGTTACATCCTGTAATAGTACTTTTTCTAATATAATTAAAAGAAATTAAATGATTAATTAATAAATACAGTCGGCTCTCGATATAACGAAGTTGGTGGTTTGGCCAATCAGGCCTTCGTTATAAGAAAATTCGTTAATAAAATATAGCGAATTTCGATATAATGGGAAAATCTGGTATAACATATGAAACTTTGGTATATTGTGGTATATTATGATTTCTTATGTTATGTACAACTTATGTTACACAAAATATCTTCGTTGTATTAAAAAAAGTTCTTTATAAAAAGAAATTCTGTATATAAAGAGTCATTTTATTATGTACAGTTTATAGACTTACTTCGTTAAACGGTATACAGCATTTAATTAGTAATATTCGTTATAGCAAATTTTTTTTTTTATATGTTAAAATTGGTACAACACTAAAGATTCGTTATACCAAATAATTCGTTATATCAAAATTCGCTATAACGAGAGCCGACTGTAAACAAGAATATTATATTGATATTTAATAAATAGCTTACTTTTTAATTCCTTATTAGAAGTCACCTTTTGACTTCTTTTATTAGTATCTATTGAATTAATATCAATTTTTAGAATAAATGGTTAAATTATATTTATTATTATTATTTACCTTTTCGTGTCATAGCTTTTGCCTTCCGTTTAATCTCACTTTTGTCCCTTCTAGTATATGGAACCCCAAATTTGTCATTAATTTCAGCTGTCTTAAAAAGTCTTTCATCAAGCCGTAAAAAGAATTTAAAAATTAAATAAATACACAAGTTGAAATATATGTAATTATAGCCGATTTTGAGGCTGATAATAAGAAATGTGATGAGAAATAATTATGCGTATAATAGGCGCAGTGAAATTAATTACATGAATCTCATCACATGCCTTAACATCACGCTCCTCAATAAAATTTTCGAGCATCCTTATCCTGGGCCACGGTCCAGATGCTTATCCTGGACCAGCAAATCTAATTGGATGAGATTGTTTTGTGTAACATTTGTCTTGGAAAAAAAAACAATTCGCGTTTTTTTTAAAAAAAAAGTTACGAAATGCCTTTTTTTAAAGCATTTAATACTACCGTTTTAAAGTAATATGTTATTTAAATTTTGTATTTTGGTATGCATTTTATTAAACTTTATTAATAAATAAGTAAAATTGCATATATAACTTTATAAAAAAGGTCTTTACATTATTTTTTACTGTAATTTTATTATTAAAATTATTTTAACGTTAATATCAAAACAAAAGTACAAAGTAATAGTATTATATTAACTTTAAAAGTTTTGTTATAAATTTGTAATTTACAACCTTTTTTGAACAACTTTGCTTAACCCCAAAACTTAAAAAAAAAACACTTGATTTCCAGAATAATATCAATATATCATAAAACTCTTCAAAAAGAAAATAAAAAACATTTAGTATTATCATAAAACTACAATAAATACAATTAAAATTAAAATATACAAACTGAAATGAAATATGAAATACTAAGTACTAACATACCACAAAAAAGAATAGAGAAAGAGTGAAAGATAGGAAGAGTAAGAGATAAAATAAATTATGCTGGAGTTATGTAATAAAAGGGCTGATTAGCCAATCAAAAGTTGACTGGTCCAGAATAAGCATCTGGACCGGTGGGTCAGGTTAAGGATGGCCAAAATTTTCCGGCAAGCATCTTCACGTGCCGAATTCTTGATACTTGGCGCAGTATCGTACTGGCGATAAAAAAAAATCGAATTACCTAAGCAACAAATTTCAGGCGGAATGGAATGTTATGAAAATGAGTCGTAGTGGTGAGTATGAATAGGAAATACGTCTGCATTAATTATTTTTTTATATCTCATTGCTAATCTTCGAATTCTTCCTATAGAATCGAAATTACTTCCTCTCGGAAAAGTTCTCTTGCGGGGAATAATCTTTTACATAGACTATGTGGGTGGGGTGATATAGATATACTAAAATTTTGTAATATGGGTGGGATAAAGTATTTCGAAATCTGAGAAACCTAGTGATAGAAACAAATTAGTTATAGATATTTTTCGTAAATGTGAGAACAAAGAAATAACTTGATGCTGGGACTCGCATTAAATGGCCTAGAATCCGCGTACTCCCTCTTTGATAGCATCATATGTTTCTCTCTTTTCCTTGTTTCTCTAGTTCAATCACTTTTGAAATTTAAAAAAAAAATCAATAAAGTTTCGCCCATATCGGGTTTATTATTTTTATTTTTTTTAACATGTATGATGTAACAAAAAATAAGTCATAATGTATTGGGATGATATAATTCGATATAATATATTTCAGGATGAATCTAATCAATTCTTATAACCTCATACTTCTAACTTGCAAAACGCGTTCTTAATCAATGAAGTTAGGCGCGCATACATTGATAAAAGTTAATTTTAAATCACGCGCTCATATAGCTTGATGAAAGTTAATTTATTGCTACGACAAAATTAAAATGAACTTTCTAGAGTTTGCTAAAGAATACAAAAAATTATTTCCGAATATCACATCTGAAGAAATTTGTAAAGCTTTTCAGGTTAACAGTAAGTTGGTTTACCCATCAAAGACCTGCTATTCTTGTTCGATAACTAACTAACCCTTTTTGGTCTCCTAACCCAATTTAGATGAACATCAAGGTAAGCCTTTGCGTCGTAATGTTTGGTTAGCTCGAACGTGACGCTTAATTAACAGATAATTTATAGAACTTAAAAGAAAGAGAGTCGTAGACGTCGTGGACGTTAGTGCTCGAACTCTAGAAAATTTTAAAAAAAGACCCAAGCCAACACTCCCTCCGGTCAACGAACTTGTTGGCTTCCTAGAAAGACCTCTTTCCGAAGATTTAAAGATACCACTTCTTCAATATCAATACGATTGCTTAATATCAAATAACTTTGAAGATTTGTGCACTTCAAAAGACCTCAATATATTATTTTGTGTTAGCAAATTTGAAAACTCCTTCGGATTTTATAGTAAATTTGTTTCTGCATCTTTATGGAACAATCCACCCTCAAACGTTGGGACTGAATATTCCTTCGTTTCATTCTGGGATAATAACATTCGATACCCTTTGGAATTGCTTCTTCCTGATGGTAATTTTGTCCGGAATACCTCCAAACACATGAGTACTAACAGAGATCGGCCAGACTATGGCTTCCTTCTCAGTAATGCCTGTCTTTTCAGAGGTGAGGAGAAATCATTTCTTAATGAGGATCCAAGAGCTGAACTTGGGAACAAACTCGTTTGGACTTACGAACCCGCCCCATATATACTTGGTGAGGCATTATATCAATTTTCAAATAAACATAATTACCTATATGTTAATGCAGGTTTGTCATCGTAGGATATTATGCAAATGGGCCCACTGTTGAATTTGTTGCTATTTGTTCACCACAGCCCGGGTCTACCGAGCCAAATATTTTCAACATCGCAAAATCAGACTTACAGACTAAGGCGCAGAGGATTCTTCATTTGCGACGGATGATAAACCTAAGTTTAATCATTGAATCAATTCACAATGCGATTGGATTACACGATTTTCCTGAATTTTATCCAGTTAAAAGGTGAGTTAAAGAATTTGATTTGAAATATTTCACGTTCTGATAATGTTCTTTTTCTCATTCTATTTGCAGGAGTGATAAGATTATCGAAGTGTGTGCCACGAAAGTTAAAAAGACCTTTACACATTCTTATCCTGCAATCAATTATGGACGTGTTGAAAAACTCAGGAACATATACAAGAAATTGGAGGTTAAAGGTGTACCAAACGTTGACAAACTTTTTGCTTCCTATTGCGATGAAAAACATGGAGCTGTGGTTTATCTTGAACCGAAGGGAATAAGAGTTAATCCAAGTAACCAGGAAGAGCTTCTTAACGCAATCATCTGTATTCTTGAAACACTTGAGGTAAGCATGTAGTAATTGCTAAGTGCATGTTTATTGGCGCATTTCTCACTTGACGTTCTTCAACATAGGTTTTGCATAGTGAAGACGATCCAATATTTCATCAAGACATCAGATGGTCACACGTTGTAAGACTGTCCAATGAAAAATCGAAATGGATTCTAATAGATTGGGATGATTCTGATAGTCCCCCAACTCGACCTGCAAGCCACCTTGCAAAAGATAATCATACTCCGGAAGTATTTGAGGCAGGTCATGGTGGAGAAGTTGATATTTGGGGTGTTGGAAGATTAATTACGGATGCAAGTATATGGATTACAGGCCTATCACATAATATAATCAAATTTGGAGAACAAATGCAAAGTAACAATAAACCGTCGGTTTATGACGCTATAAATTTTTTAAAGTCTTTGGCAAAATAGATTTGCGAAAATTTCGTGTAAAATAGATGTTTAAATCAATGTGTATTTCGAGTTGTAAGACGTAATGCTAGAATGCTAGATAAATTAGAAATAATATGTATACTGTATAGCAAGTCATCATTCACCAAGGAATTGGAAAGATCCTGAAAATTTTAATCCTGCTTGGTTAGGTTTTGGTAGTGGTAATAGCAAGTTAAAACATAATATATATATAAATTTTTTTTTTAAAAAAAAATTTAATAATCTATTTTTTTTATTAAAAAATTAGTAGATGTATAGGAATTAAATTCTCGGTTATTAAACAAAGAATAATGTTATGCGATATATGTAAGTTTATGTTCATAATTTTCGTAGTATTAAAATTAATCTAAAATTATAATTTTTTTTTTTATATTTATAGTAAGAAATATAAAGTATCTTTACCAACAGATAGTATTCATAAAGATAAATTAAGAATTGGAAGTGATGGTAGTGGAACTATGGAAATATTTCCAGTGTCTTTAATATTTAAAAGAAGAAAGAATTAAATAACTTTATAAAATTATATTTAATTAATAAAAGTAATTCGATATTTGTTATCATTTAAAATAATTATTCCGTAATTTTTGTAAATTATATAATTTAATTAAATATGGTGCAGTCGATATTTTATCTTAATTTAGAGCGGTTTGTCAAACTTTTATTTGATCACGTGTGTTTAAAGGTACTGTATATATTAAGCTAAAAGCGGTTCATTATGATATTTTCATTACACATTGACGTCAAAATGTACTGAATATAATTATTTCAACGTAAATTGCGCTGCAGAAATGAGAATACTTAGAGATTTAAATTAGTACAAAAAATTTTTTCGATTTAAAAACAAAAAACTGCGTATTGTGTTAATTAATAGGTAATTAAAGAGTATATGTTAGACAATATAATAGCGTCCATGAAATCATGGGGTTTCATTTACTTAGAATAAAAAATTTATCCGTTATATTTGTCCTTTTAGTAAAAAAAAATTGAAAATTTAAAACTCCAAAACACTAAATGTTCAGAATTATTATTTTATATTTTTATATTTCAATTTGCGAATTTCCTTAGTCATTTAAATCAATATCTTTATAGCCAATAAATTTATAAAATACTTGGCTAATGATGAGGAACTTAAAAATGTACCGTTAAATTTTTAGAACTTGTTGAACAATATTTACTAAGTTTGGACAGGTAAGCGTTGAGAGGATATATACTCTACCGCAAGTCCTATCTGTTGATATGTTTAAGGATTCCTTTCTGCCATTTAGAAGAGAAAAGTTTTAACTTTTTTATAGATAAAATAATTATTTACTGCAATTATTATGCAATACTTTTGCTAAATATGTTAGTGGTACGGCCAATAATATCAAACTTAAAGAAAATAATATGATTTAGGCCAGAATTAGGAATTTTGGCCAACATTATAAAATGGAATTACGAATCAAACTATATACTTTGTTAAACATGGTGGCTTAATTTGTACTACTTTTGTGTACATTTATTGTATGACATTTAAATATATTTAAAAAAAGAATCCACATTTAGAATTATTTTCGCCTCTTGCTATTATACTCTACGATTACTAATAATAATAATATCAAAATGCAAAACACAAAAAATACAAATGAATGGATTAACTGGATTGAAGAAGCAGTTTCTAAAGAGTATTATAAACTCTATGAACATGAAAATTTTAGCGATATTCAAAAAATTGGCACTGGAGGATTCGGAAAAGTTTATCGTGCGAGTTGGAAAAATTCTCAATATTTTGCGTTGAAAACTTTTTTTAATCTTGATGACGTTACTGCAAAAGAAATCGTTCATGAGGTATAAATTATGAAATAATCAGAATATAATATTTTAAAATTCATAATATTTATTTGCTCATTTTAAGTTTATATAATATTGATATTCTAGCTTAAGCTTCAACGGGATAAACAATTTCATGATAACATTATTAAATTTTATGGAATTGCAAAATTTGATCCAGGTATAGTAAAATTAATATACTATATGTTTAAAACGTGATTTTATAAAAGTATATTTTAATAAAAAATGATTATTTCTTATTTATAATTAGAAAACCAAAATTCTCAATCAAATAATTATTTGCTAGTGATGGAATATGCTAATTCTGGTCCTCTTAAAAATTATTTAAAGGAAAATTTCAATAGTCTTACATGGAACAATAAATATAACTTTGCGTACCAATTAGCCTGTGCCGTGTCATGTTTACATAATGAAGGAATTATACATCGTGATTTGGTAATCTACTTTATTAATTATATAAAAGTATTATTGTGTATTTTTGTTATATCCTAACATCATAACGTACTTACAGCATTCCGGTAATGTACTGGTCCATCGAAACAATATCAAATTATCTGACTTTGGGTTGTCGAAGAGAATTGAATCATCATCCAACACACAATCAAAACTTTTTGGAATAATTCCTTACGTTGATCCAAAAAGATTTAGGGGACGAAGAAAAAATAAAAGTTCAACACAAATATTTTCGTTAAATGAAAAAAGTGATGTCTATAGTGTTGGTGTATTACTTTGGGAGATATCTAGTGGTCAACCTCCCTTTTATTCTGAAGGCGAACAATATGATATTGATTTGGCTTTAGAAATTTTACAGGGTCTTAGAGAAGAACCCGTTCCCGATACACCTGAAGATTATGTTGAGATTTATACTAGTATGTAATATTTTTTTTTTTTTGAAAAAATTTTTTCAACTCTCTTATACTATTATGTGGTTTTTATAGGATGTTGGAATGGCGAACCAGACAAACGCCCAACCATAAATCAAGTAGTAGAAAGATTAGAAGCAATTATGACAAAAATAAACATAATAACAGAAAATTATCAAACAGAATTAAGCCTTCGATCAACATCAACGGATGGACAAAATTTTAATCCAATTAATATTGGTACTTTATCGAATATTAATAATTCATTACATGGGGAAATGTCTCAAATTATACAAAATTTTGGTAAAATGAACACAATATCTACATCATTAACAAATGAAAATAAAAAAAATTTAAATAAAATGGTTAATGATACAGTAAATTATATTTTCAAAATAATTAATGAAGGAAAAGAATTAACGCATATCAAAAATACTAAAAATATTCGTGATTATTTTGATAATAATAATATAAATTCACCAGAAATTTATTGTTGGTTATTAATTAGTCAAAATAATTCAGATTCTATATTCTTACTTGGATATTTTAATTATTTAGGGATTGAAACAAGCGAAGATAATAAGAAAGCATTTGATTTATTTATTGATGCGTCAGAACAATGTCATATATTAGCACAATTTTATGTTGGATTATGCTATGAAAATGGCCGTGGAACTGTAAAAGATGAAAAATTGGCTTTTAAATGTTACCAAAAAATAGCCAATAAGGGTTATGCTTCAGGATTATTGAAAATTGGTTATTTCTTTAATAATGGTATTGGAACTAGTGTTAATTATCAAAAAGCATTTGAGTTATATCAACAGGCGGCAAATCTAGGAAGTATTATGGCTCTAAACAATCTTGGCAGTGTGTATTATGATGGTAGAAGTGTTGAAAAAGATTATTATAAAGCTATGGAATTATATCAACAAGCGGCAAATTTAGGTAATAGTGTGGCTCAATATAATCTTGGTGGTATGTATTATAATGGAGATGGTGTTGATATAAATTATGAAAAAGCCTTTGAATTATATTACAAGGCAGCAAATTCAGGATTAAATAATGCTCAATATAATCTTGCTGTTATATATGAATATGGAAAAGGAACTGAAAAGGATATAATTAAAGCAATTTATTGGTACGAGAAATCTGCTAAGCAAGGATTTCAACGTGCTCAAAATAAATTAGAAGATTTAATAAAACGACAATCAAGCTTGTTTATTTGAATGAGCATAAAGTACAAGTAAATTATTATTTTTACTAATAGTATTTTATGCCTGAAGGTGGAAACGATTAATTATATTAGTTAAGTAGAGTAATTGTAGCCCAGTAATATTTTCACTTATTAGATTCGTGATGCATTATTTTCTACAATATTTATCGCTCCTTAAATTTGATTTTTTGCTATAATTCCAATTTATCTGTGATGAAAAATAAGTATATATTTCTTTATTGTTGATGAAAAATTATCTAAGTTTCTTGACTGAAGAAATTTCTTTATAGTAAATTCTTAAAATTAAAATATTTTTGTTCTTATTTACCACCAAACTCATCTAGTGTGGTAATTTTTTAATGTGGCCAAATTATGTTTATGTATACGTCGAACTCCCTGCTGATCCGTGGTTTATCTTTCCATGTTTTTTCCGTGAATGTATCATTTTTATGGAATTTATAGCCTTAAATCATGGAAATTTTCATCTCGCTAACACGGATATCCGTGAATGTATCATTTTCACGGAATTTTTACGGAAGACACGGAGAAATAATGGAAATATTCGGATAAAATTTTTTTATAGGGACTTAACGTTTTTTAATTAAAAAATAATAACCCTGGCAATGATAACGATGATATATAACATAAACATCTAAACCTAGTCATTAAGCTTATCGTAAAATGATTTCTTACCATGTCGTTAGAAGATTATTTACAAAATATTTTTAGATCTTTATTAATAATAAAAAAATTCCCAAACTACAACATTGCTGCTATTATTACTACTTACTACTCTAAATTCAATACTTAAACCGCTATTAACTTCATGATCTTTACTAGAAGCTTCGATATTATATAATTACTTATAACCCTAGTATTATATTTAACCATTATAATTGTTATATTAGTTATAATCATTATAAAATTTTGTTAATTCTAATGTTTCGATATTTGATTCTATTTTATTTTATTATAGAAGATTGGTCGAGATGTTAAATACATGAAAGGCAGGAATGCAAGAGGTAGTAAAAATTACATTGAATTACTATCTTAATGTTATTCAACTATCTCGCCCAATAAGGAGTCCACCCTTCGTGAATAAGTGTATCTAACGCTAGAGAAACTACGCCGCTAGGTCAAATCCATCATGACGGGGAAATTATAAATTATAAAGCAATCCATCTAAAAAAAATAAGATTCGTATTTTTCTTTCAGTTTCCGGAGAAACTACTATACGTAAATGCTGTAAAGTATGGAATGGTTCACACTATTCTAAATTGTGTAAGGTTGAGATTATATTTCATGAAATGTGTCCTGGAAATTGGTTAATCGTTTGATGTGCGCTAAACGTTCACGTTATTTGTGTTTACTTGTTTTCAAGTAACGTGCTTGTTCAGAGTCTAGTTGATCTTTTTTGGCTATTCTTTCCAGCCGTTTAAGGTGTTTTTTTCGGAGAACGTCTCCCCTATAAAAAATTTTTATCCGTTATTTCTGTAAAAACTCCGTAAAAATGAGCCTTTCTCGGATCCATTTACGGAAAATGTAAATAATTAGATAAATTCCGCGATATAAGGTTATTAATTCCGGAAATGTGAGCCTTTTACGGAAAAAAGATGGAATATAAAAACGGATTGACTTTTTTTACAGGGCTCCAGTCGTTGTTTTTTAATGTAACGTTAGAGCCAGATAATTGAATATAAAGAACGAATCGTACGTCTTCTGGTTTGATTCTGATGTTGGTTGGTAAAGCAGCCCAACCAGGGATTATTGGTATATCTTTTTGATAGGAAGAGGTGTGTTGGTGGTATGAGGTCTCTTTGGACGAGTCGGTTGAAAGATTTTGTGCGTTCTTATCTATATTCGGTATATGTTATGTTCGATTTTGAACTAGAAAAAATTGAGGATAATCTAGAAGAATTTGGTTGCACGTATGAATGTGTAAGAGAAAAAAAAGGACAAAATATATATGGGTAACCTGCTGGTTCGGGGAATAGATTTTCTGATATGAAAAACATTTCCTTCGTGCTACAATTAATTGATTTTGTATGTCCTTTATAGGATTATTTGATTTCCTTTTAAATAAACGATCACGAATACGCTCCCTATGTCTTTTTTGATGTTTTGATGTCTTTGAATTCTTATTTGATAGAAAAGTGAGATCAGAATATTTTTTCTGTACATGCTTTTTTGGCCTTTAGATAGTATATCCTTTCGTCCGTTAGCTTTATATGTGATGTTATATGGCGATGCGAATAAACTTTTTTGCCGTTTTATACTAAACAGTGGCTGAACGGAAGAATTTTGTAAGAAATTTTTGATTTCTATACTAATTACTTTGATTCATTCTTTAACTTTTGATATTGATCGAAAAAAGATCATTGATGCATTACACACGAAGGAATCGATTCTAAAGTTTTGAGATTTTTAGTCTTTTCAATATACAAGCGCCTCCCGTTATAACGAAACTCTTCGGGACATTATTAAATTTTTTCTAATTGTCGTTATAACAAAATGTATTATGTTTATATGACGACATCAAAGGATTCCAAAAAATGGTATATCGTTACACAATAATATGTCGTTATAACGAGATGTCATTATAATGGGAGGCACTTACTACTTGTATTAAGAAATATTAAATTACATGATTTGTTAATTTGTAAAAAGAAATGAGTAAGATTTAAAATTAGGAATAAGAATATTCAAGGAATTTTTCAATAGAATCTGATGAATGATTAATTTTAATCCTTTCAAGATTATTCATAATTATGACGACTAATAAATAGTTTGATTTTATATTCCAAATTTTTTATCCAAAAAATTTACTAATTTTTATAAATGTTTAATCTAAAAATAATTATTATATAATTGCATCGTTCCTTCCACGTCACGAAAATAATAACATGATTCCCAATTTTAAGAGCAAATTATTTACATCGGTCAATTTAGGCGAAGGCTACAAATGAACACTGACATACAATCGTTCTGTTTTAATAATATCATATCCGTTATAAATTGTAATACTCACTGAAATAGTTCATATAATAGTTTATTAATGATGCGTCATCGCGAATGAGATGTTAACTGGGATCTAGTTTTGCAAATAAATATTTATTATCTTTTTAAATTCATATATACAGTAAACTTAGAAACTTTAATTTAATAAACAAATATTGAAGATATGTTAAAAGTTCTTTCTATTTTCGCATTTATCGAATCCCCTCACGAAATATTTTTCTATTTAAACCCGGCTCAACGGTTAAGACGTTAAATCGACAATAGTTTTTTTTTATTATTTAATATTTTTTTTATCTTTAGTTATATATCATATAGATACTATTAACTAAATGTAGAACAACGTGATTATTTCTGTGACCACTAGCTGTTATCTCAATTCGTTGTTTTTTTCTTTTTTGAACTTTATACTTGCTTGCAAAAATATCTTCCGGTTGGTATTTCATTACTTTTTTTAGGTGTGTAAGGTTCTGAAAATATCAGTTATATATTTTTATTTATTAAAACATTTCGCAATATAAATACAGTATATAGTATAAAATGCTTATCGAGTCTAATTTAAAAAGAATATACTGTAACTAAAAATAGTATTACTATTTTAATTACCTATAATATGAGTCACGTTTATCCTATCTAAAATTGCTAATTTAAGACCTAACTGTATTGTGTATGATCTAAAATTATCGTTATACTACGTTACTATCCTAGATTTTAATATGTTTTTTGATTTTTGATATTTTCTATGTTTAGAGACTTTTACTAAATTTTAATACATTAAGAAAAAACCTTTAAACCAAGATATCGTCCAAAAAGAATTCTCCTCTTTTGTCCGCCTAATCATTAGTCAAATCCAAGCGTTGGCCCAAAAATTCCTTCTCAAATTTGTAAAAACTTGAAGGATGAATTTGTTTATTCGCTATCGGAATCTTCCCTTCGTTCCTGCGCTGTCACTGCACGTTTTTATTCTTGTTAATCTTGTCTTCATCCTCGATTGTTTCCCCTTTTCCTTCTGGAAAGCTCGTCTTCTTGTTCAAATCTTCCAATCTTTCGCTAAAATTATTGTTTAAATTGTCAAGTTCTTCATGTTCTTCTTTTGTTCTCGGTATTGTTGAAAGAAGATCAGATTTGGCGTCAACGAATTTATCTTTAGATGTTGTTTGCGCTGGCACCTTAAATCTGTTTATTCATGTTCTTCTTTTAATCTTTTATACGTACCCTTTCACCAATTAGCTCGTCTTGACTTTTCATTTGGAGTCCTTTCCCCATATCTTCTTCCATTGTGGATTTATAAATTGCCTTTAATAGACCGCTTTCGTTGTTAAAGTATATCAAAATATATTTGATTTTGTTAATTTTAATAACTTTGGCAAAATGTCCACCGTAGGGATTGGAACCGTCCAAAAAAACCTTAACCGGTTAAAAAAACCAGTTAATCGGAACGTTTAACCGGATAATAACCGGTTAAAGATATAAATTTTACGTTTAACGCGTTTATAAGTTTTATTTTGCCCATTTGAATATTTGATAAATCTATCACAATTTTACTCTTAAAATTATGCATCATTTATGATAAAACCACATTTTTAACTTTGTTCATAAATATTTGATAAATTGTAAACACATAATTTATATAAATAATGTAAATATAAATACTGGTAGTAAAAATGATAGAATTGAAATAATGAAAACGATTGATTGTTCTTAACCTATTTTCTCTAAAAAGACTATAGATAACATTTCAAGTATTTAATTATGATATTTATTTACCTTATTAGTGCTAGCAACTTGAATTTCTTTTAATAAAAAGAAGATTATTGTCTTGATGACTCAGATTGAGATTCTTATACTATGTCTCTATAGTCAATATCATCCATGTTGTATAAAAAATAAAAAAAATAATAATTTAAAAAAAAAATTTCGTAAAAAATTGAGCAATAAAAAAGTTTCAATCAGTTTATTTTTTTAGCTAGCTGTTAGCCAACATAGGAATATTGGAGGTTCTGAATTAAAAAATCATCTGATATAACAATCTTCATATTTAACCGTTTTTTGGATTATCCTAACCGGTTAACCACTTTAACCGGTTCCAATCCCGAAGGTTTTATTTTATATTTTAATTATCTCATGAGTATCTCATGTTCTCTCTTTTCTGTTTCTTCTTTGTCTAATTTTTTACTTACCATTCGTATCTTTTTTTAATCGCTGTTGCATTTAATTTTTCGTCAAACATTCAGAAAAAGTACGTTCGTTCATTTGTTGTTATCGCTATATTGGACTTTCGTACCAGACCCATTAAATCTTGATAAACAAAAAAAATTGATCTCTAATTTAAATTTAACTTGTACTAAATATGCATTTTTTTTTTAATGAAACAAAATTTATATTGTAGGCCAAAATTAGAAATTTTGGGCAAAAATTATAAATTGGAATTACGAATCATATGATATGTATGCACAGTGACCTGATTGTTTGTATTACATTTGTCAAAAATTTGTATATATTTAGTAAAGTCCATAATAGAATCATTTTTTCTCTTAATTCTTTTTTCTTGTAAATTTACGATTATCAATAATATCAAAATGCAAAACACGAAAAATACAAATAAATGGGTGAATTTGATTGAAGAAACTATTTCTAAAGAAAATTATAGATTTTATGAACAAAAACATTTTAGTAATATTCAAAAAGTTGGAACTGGAGGATTCGGAAAAGTTTATCGTGCGAGTTGGAAAAATTCTCAATATTTTGCGTTGAAATCTTTTTTCAATCTTGATGACGTCATTGCAAAAGAAATTGTTCATGAGGTAATAAATTATAAGATATAAATCATAATATAACATTTTAAATATTCATAATATAAAATTTGCTCATTTAAAATTTATGTTTATAATATTTGATTGATATTTTAGCTTAAACTTCAACGTGATATACAATTTCAAAATAACATCATTAAATTCTATGGGATTGCAAAATTTGATCCAGGTATAGTAAAATATAATATTCTATATGTTAATATGTAATTTATAAAAATATATTTTAATAAAAAATGATTATTTTTTTATTTATAATTAGAAAATCAAAATTCTCAGTCAAATAATTTTCTGCTAGTGATGGAGTATGCTGATTCTGGTCCTCTTAAAGATTATTTAAAGGAAAACTTCAATAATCTTACATGGAATGATAAATATAACTTTGTATACCAACTAGCCTTTGCCGTGTCATGCTTACATAATGAAGGAATAGTGCATTGTGATTTGGTAATCTACTTTATTAATTATAAAAGTATTATTGTAAAATTTTTCCATATTTTTTAATATCATAACGTACTTACAGCACTCGGGCAATGTATTGGTCCATCGAAACATTATCAAGTTATCTGACTTTGGGTTATCAAAGAGAATTGAATCATCATCTAACATACAATCAAAACTTTTTGGAATAATTCCTTACGTTGATCCAAAAAGATTTAGTGGACAAAGTAAAAATAAAAACTCAACCCAAGNTGGTGTATTATTCTGGGAGATATCTAGTGGTCAACCTCCCTTTTATTCTAAAGGCAAACAATATGATATTGATTTGGCTTTAGAAATTTCACAGGGTCTTAGAGAAGAACCCGTTCCCGATACACCTGAAGATTTGGTTGAAATTTATACCGGTATGTAATATTTATTTATTTGAAAAAAATTTTCAACGAACTAAAAATTTTCGACGAACTCATTATTTACAATATACTATTATATTTTTTTTTAGAATGTTGGAACGGCGAACCAGATAAACGCCCAACCATAAATCAAGTAGTAGAAAGATTAGAGGCAATTATGACAAAAACAAACATAATAACAGAAAATTATCAAACAGAATTAAGTTCTCGCTCAACATCAACAGAAGTACAAAATTTTAATCCAACTAATATTGATACTTTATCGAATATTGATAATTCATTACATGGGGAGATGTCTCAAATTATACAAAATTTTGATAAAATGAACACAAGAGAAATAGAATCTACACCATTAACAAATAAAAATAAAAAAAATTTAAATAAAATAGTTGTCGATACAGTAAATTATATTTTCAAAATAATTAATGAAGGAAAAGAATCAACGCATATCAAAAATAATAAAGATATTTTTGATTATTTTGATAATAATATAAATTCACAAGAAATTTATTATTTACTATTAACTAATCAAAATAATTTAGATTCTATATTCTTACTTGGATATTTTAATTATTTAGGGATTGAAACAGTCGAAGATGATAAGAAAGCATTTGATTTATTTATTGATGCATCAGAACAAGGTCATATATTAGCACAATTTTATGTTGGATTATGTTATGAAACTGGCCGTGGAACTGTAAAAGATGAAAAATTAGCTTTTAAATATATTGAAAAAATAGCCAATATGGGTTATGCATCAGGATTATCAAAAATTGGTTATTTCTATAATAAAGGTATTGGGACTATAATTAATAAGCAAAAAGCAGCTAAATTTTATCAACAATCAGCGAATTTAGGAAATAGTATAGCTAAATATAACCTTGCCATTTCTTATGTAAATGGAAATGGTGTTGATATCGATTATGGTAAAGCTCTTGAATTATATCAACAAGCGGCAAATTTAGGATATAGTTTAGCTCAAAATAATCTTGGCAATATGTATTATAATGGAAAAGGTGTTGATATAAATTATGAAAAAGCTTTTGAATTATATTACAAGGCAGCAAATTCAGGATATAATAGTGCTCAATATAATCTTGCTAATATGTATTATGAAGGAAAGGGAATCGAAAAGGATGTAGATCTAGCAATTTATTGGTATGAGAAATCTGCTAAACAAGGACATCAACGTGCTCAAAATAGATTAGAAATTTTAAAATTTTAAGAATTGGTGTAAAAATCACTTGATTAGAAAATCAGATGATTAAGTGGCAAAGTAAATATTGAACGTACCCGTCACGTCGTCACGAATATCATTACGTGATCAATACAGATCTTAAATCCCGCAGCATTTTCTTTATTTAATCGTCATTTTTTTTTAAATAAAAATGTTTTGTTTTTAGGATGTGCATTAGAATATTTTTGAATGTATTGCTATATAAATTTTAACAATTTAACGGTATGTATTATATAACATCATATTCCACGTTACTCGAAAAGTTCTTTTATTTTGATAATTTTCTACTTCTTCAACCATTATTGAAATTAATTCACACTTTATCTCTAAATATTCTTCTTTTTTCAATATCATTTATTCTCAAATTAATATTTTTGTTATTTATTTCTTCAAATTCATATTGTATATTTTGCTCAACTGGTTCAAAAAGTCTTGTTCAAATTAAATGGATTAATATCATCATTTGATATCTTGTATTTCTTTTTACCTAATATTTTATTATAATAAAAATGATGTTGTTTAGCGACCGAACCACGTGCCAATTTCATTAGATATTCTAATCATTTTGGAACCTTTTATTAAAATTACCGTTGGCCACTGCATATAGTATCCCCCGAAAATAGTACCTCCCATGATTAAGATTCGGGTATTATTCACCACCCATGCTACCTGGTTCTTAAATAATACCCGGGGTATACCCTCTAATAATTTATCACTTTTCATATAATTTATATCCAAATATAGTACCCGGTTCCTCACGAAGTACCCGCGGGTACTATTCAATTTAAAATATCGAGTTCTTGAATAAGACCTTTGGTACTATATTGTTGGTAGTTTTATATCATTGATGATAATTAATACATTGTTTAATGAGATTTTCAGCGTTAAAGAACAAGTTATCATTAAGATTTTGTTGTGGCAGCCTTGACAAATCATTATGTAAAAAAAAAATACTAATAAAAATATTATAAAAGAAGAAAAATAATAAAAATAAATAAAGAAAAAGGAGAAGAAAGGAAAAAAATAAACTATAATACAATAAATAAACTACTGTATAAAATTATTACGTGACCACTTTTATGTAATAAAAATTTATCCATTGCAGGGCTACAATCTGATAATTTCCGGATGTGTTTGTTATATATGTGTTGTCTTATATCAGTTATATATCTATCTATTTTCGCATTTATCGAATATCGAATCTCTCTCATGAAATATTTTTCTATTTAAACGGTAAAGACGTTAAATTGACAATAGTTGTTTTTTATATTATTTAATATTTAAAATGATCTTTTTTATCTTTAGTATAATTGTACATTTGTAAAAACAGTAACTGGTAATATCATATAGATACGTGATAACTCGTGATTATTTCTGTGTGACCACTAGCTGTTATTTCAATTCGATATTTTTCTTTTTTGAACTTTATACTTGCTTGCAAAAATATCTTCCCAGTTTGTATTTCATTACTTTTTTTTAGGTGTGTCATTTTTTCCAAGGTTCTGAAAATATATATAAAATGCTTCTCGAATCTAATTTAAAAGAATATAACTAAAAATAGTAAATTGCTATTTTAATTACCTATAAATATATGAATCACGTAAAATTTTTTTTCTATTTTTATTATATTTTAAATAAAATAAAAGATATAAAATTAAATTATTTCATTTTTTTTTTTATTGCCGTTTTCAGAAATGTTGGCACTCAGTGTGTCGATCATTTCTCAAATCGAACACACCGAACACACACTGAACACAAACAAAACACAGCAATTAAAATTGCGAAAAAAAAATTTTTCCTTTATAAAACAAAAAATTAGACTTCGATAATATATTTTTAGGTAGTGTGCATAAAAAAATGTATAAAAATTATATTATTTATATATATGTATTCACTTGTATTTGCTTGTATTCGCTTATATTCAGTGTGTTTGGTTGTGTTTGGTTGTGTTCAGTTGTGTTCGGTGTGTGTTCGGTATAAATTTTAACATTTTCAATTTTTTTCATAACTAAAAATTGATAAAAATAGTTTTTATGTAAAACTATATACACACAATTCAAGTTCTCATAATTTTTTATATGTGTTCACGGTGTGTTCGGTGTGTTCGGTGTGTTCGTTTTGTAAAAATGATTGACACATTGAGTGCCAACATTTCTGAAAACGGCAATAAAACAAATCCGTTCATTGATTTTCAAATTCTTTTTTCATTTTTATTTCTCTTTTTCGTGAGCCTTTTTCATTGAATATCATTCACTATTATCCTCTTTTCTTTGTTAAAATATTTGATGATTTCGAAAATTGAATTCTCTAATTCTTTTTTTTTTTTGTTATACTATCCTTTTCAACTTTTTTCATATTTCCAATTTAGATGGAATTTTTCATTCTTTGGTCGATCACTTGTGTTTTGCGTGAAATCAAAATTTTATTTTATTAAATGTTTTTAATAAAAAGACGTTTCTTAATGGTAACCTGTGTTTTCGTGTAAAAAAGATTTCATGTTTAACTTTTTTATCAGGTTTTTTTGTTAATTATTTCATATTTTAACTATATTTTTTCTCTTTAATAAAAAAAAAAGCCAACCCGAAAATGATGAGGTGAAAAAAAAAAATCGGAAAAAAGGAAAGTTTGAAAAAAAAAAGAAATTTCGGTTTTAAACAAACCAAATCGAAAAAAGGAAAGTTGAAAAAAATTTTTTTTGAAAGGGCTAAAAAAACCCGAAAAAATAATTAAAAAAAAACTTAAAAAATCAATTCCGAATGGCCGAAAAGGATAATAAAAAAATCCGTAATTTCATTAACCGGAATTGAAACGTACACATGATCCCAATAGTATATCACGCGTTTCACGTTACAAAAATCGATTTATTTATACAGGAGGGTAATCTAAACGTCAAAGAATTTTTTTAGTTACACTATATAGATTTATAGATAATAGCTTCATGATTAGGTAAATCAACTGACAAATTTTATCTAATAAGAATCCATTATCAAGTTGACGCTTAATCAAATTGTCCATTGGAGTGTTTTTTATGAATATCCCTCAAAATTAAGGAGGGTGAGAGATAAAGTTTTTATTTTGAGAAAATTGAAAGTTTTCGATTGTGAATTGCGTTAGGTAATATTGGATTTCACTAAAGAGTGTCGAGTAAATTGTATTGAGCACCTGTAATAAAATTAGTCATCATTTTGGAAACCCTAACTTGATACACTTAAGTTTCTACTTGTTAATAAACGATAGAAAATCAATGATTCGCTAATTTTTAAGTAAAACTCTAATTTAACAATTTTATTAAAGTTAATTCCTACACTATAATATATCACTTTCATTAATTTAGAATAAAATAATTTTCAACCGAGACTTTCGTGCTAGTTGATGCGAGGATTAATTTACTAATTATGAAATATTATTAAATCTTGATAAAAAAAAAATTGATCTCTAATTTAAATTTATTTTGTACTACTTAATATGTCGAAATTTTATATTGTAGGCCAAAATTAGAAATTTTGGCAAAAATTATAAATTGATCATATGATATGCACAGTGACCTGTTTGTTTGTATTACATTTGTCAAAAATTTGTATATATTTAGTAAAGTCCATAATAGAATCATTTTTTCTCTTATTTCTTTTCTTGTAAATTTACGATTATCAATAATATCAAAATGCAAAACACGAAAAATACAAATAAATGGGTGAATTTGATTGAAGAAACTATTTCTAAAGAAAATTATAGATTTTATGAACAAAAACATTTTAGTAATATTCAAAAAGTTGGAACTGGAGGATTCGGAAAAGTTTATCGTGCGAGTTGGAAAAATTCTCAATATTTTGCGTTGAAATCTTTTTTCAATCTTGATGACGTCATTGCAAAAGAAATTGTTCATGAGGTAATAAATTATAAGATATAAATCATAATATAACATTTTAAATATTCATAATATAAAATTTGTTCATTTAAAGTTTATGTTTGTAATATTGATTGATATTTTAGCTTAAACTTCAACGTGATATACAATTTCAAAATAACATCATTAAATTCTATGGGATTGCAAAATTTGATCCAGGTATAGTAAAATATAATATTCTATATGTTAATATGTAATTTATAAAAATATATTTTAATAAAAAATGATTATTTTTTTATTTATAATTAGAAAATCAAAATTCTCAGTCAAATAATTTTCTGCTAGTGATGGAGTATGCTGATTCTGGTCCTCTTAAAGATTATTTAAAGGAAAACTTCAATAATCTTACATGGAATGATAAATATAACTTTGTATACCAACTAGCCTTTGCCGTGTCATGCTTACATAATGAAGGAATAGTGCATTGTGATTTGGTAATCTACTTTATTAATTATAAAAGTATTATTGTAAAATTTTTCCATATTTTTTAATATCATAACGTACTTACAGCACTCGGGCAATGTATTGGTCCATCGAAACATTATCAAGTTATCTGACTTTGGGTTATCAAAGAGAATTGAATCATCATCTAACATACAATCAAAACTTTTTGGAATAATTCCTTACGTTGATCCAAAAAGATTTAGTGGACAAAGTAAAAATAAAAACTCAACTCAAGTATTTTCGTTAAATGAAAAAAGTGATATCTATAGTATTGGTGTATTATTCTGGGAGATATCTAGTGGTCAACCTCCCTTTTATTCTAAAGGCGAACAATATCATGATATTGATTTGGCTTTAGAAATTTCACAGGGTCTTAGAGAAGAACCCGTTCCCGATACACCTGAAGATTTGGTTGAAATTTATACCGGTATGTAATATTTATTTATTTGAAAAAAAAATTTTCAACGAACTAAAATTTTCAACGAACTCATTATTTACAATATACTATTATAACTTTTTTTAGAATGTTGGAATGGCGAACCAGATAAACGTCCAAATATAAATCAAGTGGTAGAAAGATTAAAAGAAATTATGACAAAAACAAACATAATAACAGAAAATTATCAAACAGAATTAAGTCTTTATACAACAACAACAGAAGTACAAAATCTTAATCCAACTAATATTGATATTTTGTCGAATATTGATAATTCATTACATGGGGAAGTATCTCAAATTATACAAAATTTTGATAAAATGAACACAAGAGAAATAGTGCCTACATCATTAACAAAAGAAAATTTTAATAGAATAGTTAATGATACAGTAAATTACATTTTCAGAATAATTAATGAAGGAAGAGAATCAACGCTTACCAAAAATAATAAATATATTCTTGATTATTTTGATAATAATATAAATTCGCAAGAAATTTATTATTTACTATTAACCAATCAAGATAATTTAGATTCTAAATTCTTACTTGGATATTTTAATTATTTAGGGATTGAAACTATTGAAGATAATAAGAAAGCATTTGATTTATTTATTGATGCATCAGAGCAAGGTCATATATTAGCACAATTTTACGTTGGATTATGTTATCAATTAGGATATGGAACTGTAAAAGATGAAAAATTAGCTTTTAAATATTACGAAAAAATAGCTAATATGAATTATGCACCAGGATTATTGAAAATTGGTTATTTCTATTGTAAAGGTATTGGGACTAGTATTAATTATCAAAAAGCACTTGAGTTATATCAACAGGCGGCAAATCTAGGAAATATGATGGCTCAAAACAATCTTGGCAATATGTATTATAATGGTGCAAGTGTTGAAAAAGATTATTATAAAGCTATTGAATTATATCAACAATCGGCAAAATTAGGTAATAGTGTGGCTCAATATAATCTTGCTAATATGTATTATTATGGAGAAGGTGTTGATAAAAATTATGTCAAAGCTTTTGAATTATATCATAATGCTGCAAATTCAGGATATAATGATGCTCAATATAATCTTGCTAATATGTATTATGAAGGAAAGGGAATCGAAAAGGATGTAGATCTAGCAATTTATTGGTACGAGAAATCTGCTAATCAAGGAGATCAAGATGCTCAATACATATTAAAAGAATTAAAAAAGTGTATCATATAAATAATCAAGCTTTTTTTATTATTTACAAATATTAAGTATATGCGAATTATTTTTTATTAATAGTATTTTATTTAAAAGGTGCCGCAACAAGGATATCAACATTATTAATAAATGTAAGATTTTAGAAGAAAGTTATATAATGAAGGATTTCAGAAGGGAATGAATTATATTAGTTAAATAGAGTAGTAATATTTTCATTTATTAAATTCGTGATTACATTTATTTTCTACAATTGTTTATCATTTCTTAAATTTGATTCTTTGTTATAATGTCAATTTATTTGTGGTGAAAACTTAATTAAAAATAAACATTGCATGCATGTTTCTTTATTATTGATGAAATTATTTATAAAAAATTATGAAGTGAGGTTAATATTAAAATCTAAATTTATCGACTGGAGATTTCTTTATAGTTAAATTCGAAAAATTAAAAGATTTTTTGCTTTAGTTTACCAAACTCATTTAGTTTGATTATGTTTATACTTTCGAACTTGACGTTTTTTAGTTTATATTTAACTTACAATATAATAAAGTTTTTCATTATACATAAAGTACAAAAATAAAATTTTCAACATAATCTTTTTTTGAGACAAGATTATTTTTAAAGCTTCAATAGAATTTTCCATACCAGGATTTAATAATTTTAAATTTTCATTTAAATTATAAGTGAACAAAAATTTGATCATAATTATCATTATTATAATTACTATTACAAATATTAATTATTATAATTGTTATATAGTTATTATCATTATTACTATAAAATTTTGTAATTTTTTAATCTTTTCGATACATTAAGAAATATTAAGTAACGTGATTCGTTAATTAGTAAAAAAAAAAGGATGAGTAAGGATTAAAGAACACTAAGAATATTCTAATATAAAGAAGGAGTCTTGTCAAAAATTTGAATGAATAATTTGTTATTCATATGACGAATAATAAAAGTCTAATTTTATATTCCAAATTTTTATCCAGAAAATGAAATTTACTAATTATTCTAAATCTAATATCATTCGATTTTTATAAATCCTCATCAATCAATTGAATTTTTTCGAAATATTTTCTATTAGGGCTAAGGGTGCAGACTTTTTCTTTTTTTAGCTACGTCACTCTTAAGTTGTAACTCGTGACGTAGCTCGATATTATGTAAATTATTATAAAATTTCTATGTGAGCATCTGCAATGACGTTATTGACGTAACTTTGTTACGGCAGTTACGTCGGTAAAGTTTGCACCTCTAATTAGTAGGACGTGGTCCAACGGCCAAGGCATCAAATCAATATTATTTACATTATTTAAATTTCAAATTGGTAAATAAAGTATCCACATATTTATAATTAAATTTGAGTGTTTCAATTAACGTTATATTATCTTAAAATATATGATGTCGAATACAGTTTTTATTACGCGTATCGGTTTCGCAAATGTCCCGTTGTCCGCCGCTTTCGATACATGATTGCACCACTTTCCTGATAGTAATTGATATACTGTATCATCACGTGGTCGGTGAATAATTTAATAGATTTTCGCTCCGGACTTAACAGCGAACGGTCTACATTTATTGTTATCAGGAAGAAAGGTAAACTTTTCTCTAGAGAAAAGTTGGGTTTGAGTTTTTGACTAAGAATTTTATAGAAAACGTTTGATAATAATGGGATTTATTTTAAATAAATAACTATTATTAAATAATTTTTTAAGTAATAAATATTATATAAATATGTAATAATAATGTATGTAATAATAAGTAACTTACGAACTATATGATAATATTGCTCATTACATTCTTACTCGATCGATATTCGATATAAAGACTCTTTACCGCCAATTTACGTTAAATTATTGTAATAACAGAAAATAAGAGAATAAATTTGCGATCAAAGATAACAGTTTAAGTGTATCAAGCTAAGGTTTCTGAAATATGTAAGGCAAATTAGCTATTATATTTATATTGGCAAAAATTATATAATTCTGGATCACGGTTATTCATAGTTTATTTGTTAATAAACGATAGAAATTTATGATTCGCTAATCTTTGTAATTCCAGTTTCAAGACAAGTAAAACTTTTAATTTAATATTTATTTTTTTTAAAGTTAATTTTCCAATTTTATGTACAGTGTATATAGTCGATGCGGATATTAATTTATTAATTATGAAATATTATTAGTGAGCGGTAAATAATAAAATATGGAAAATTCTAAAGTGAAATTAAGTATTATGGAAAAAGAGTTGTTAAAGATCGAACAAGAAGTAGAGTTAAAAACATCAAGTCAAAAAGAGAGATCGATCTTAAAAAAAAAAAATTTCTATTTAATCTGATTAAGTTAATCATAGAAACAAATCATGTTCATTTACAATGTTTATAACTAGAACTGTACCACTATGGCCGCCTGGCGGCGGCCTTCAAAATAAAATTAGGTGTAACATGAGTATAAATGCATAGTCAAATAAACACTTTTTTTAAAGAACCCCTAATTGCTTTATTATACTTATATGATAACTGATAACATGATAATCTAGGTTTGTTTATGAAATAGGAAGCGGTTGTGATGCTACTTGTTCCAAGCGAGAATATTCTTTAATCACATTTGGATCTACTTTGAATGCATCTCTATTTAAATTCATTGTTTGAATTTGATCCCATTTAGGACATCTGATTCAGTTTTATTGATTTAATGTTAGTAATAAATTATTAAAAAAATTATTAGTAATCAAATTATTATGAAAGTTTTAATAGTTCGTATATATATGATC